TCTTTCTGCTAATTTGTTATTTATGCTTCTTAGGGTTGCTTTCTGCTATGTTAAGCTATTTTAGCCTTTAGCTTTTATGCTAATTAAGCTATATTTTTGCTCCTTTTTACTGTTTTTAGGCTTTTTATTTACTTTTTTCAGCTTTTCAAGTTTTATTTACAATAATACTTTTGCTGTTAAATATGTTCAGCTCAATTTCAGCAGCTTTTAGCTCATCTTCTGCAGCTTTCAGCTTAAATTTTCAGCAACAGGCATTCACACTAGCATTTTCGCAATGCAATTTCTCTAGTTAAAATAAAAATGCTGCCAGGTGACACACGACGTCAGAGTGTTAATGAGACACACCTGAGGGCCTCGAGGAGTCGAAGCGACATGGGTACTGGAGGGATATGTGGTGCTTCGGGTTGAACTCGTTAGTCGCGTTCCCTTCTCGTTAAATGGGAAGATGATTAAATGAGGATCTTTTAGTCCGGGGGTTACCATCATGAGAGCTGTGTCGTTGAAGCGCCCGCTCCTCGTTGTGGGCTGCGTTGGGTTCTGCTTGTACCTGGGGATGGTCCTGAGGAACAGTGGCTATGCGAGCACGGGGGCTGACCACCAAGAACCGGACTCATCAAGGACCATCAGGAGTATCTCTGACCTAGAGGCAAGCATAGTCGGTCTCTGTAAGTTCAGTTTGTTTTTCTCTCCCCCCCCCCCTTCCCTCTGTAAGTTTTGTAAACCAGTAAGATGTGTTAAAAATCAATGTTAAATTTCAGAAAGTCTTGTATCAGTTTGATTTTTAAAAGCAGAATGAAACTTTGAGATTTTAACTTTTACTTTAGTACACTCTAACATGTTCCTTAGGGTTTTTTATCTTAATTTTATGACATTCCACCCAGTTGCTTTCATCAAAATAAAATAAAAAGATAATTCCAGGAATAAAAAGTAGCGGTACAGGACCCTCTGATAAATGCATGTCCAGTGGCGGAGCCAGAAAATTTTCACAGGGTTGGCCAGGAAAATTACTTAATTTTTTTTTTTACTGCTATACATAGGCATTGACTCTTGTAATATGCCTCCTAAACTAGTTATAAAAAATGGAACAGTTGGGTAATTTGTTCTTTTAATCCATGAAAAACCTTACAAAACATGTACAATTTGCCTCTTGCATCWTTTGACCTGTCACCATTCTTTTCTTCTAGTTTCTTCCAGAACACAAACAACTGCAGGCAGTCTATCAAGAATGGTTTGACAAGCCTTATGTTGACAGGCCCAAGCCTTRTGTTGACAGGCCCAACGTGTGTCAYTTAACTTTTGCAGCTCCYTTGGTGCCCCATCATACATTTCTTTTTGCTTGCTGAGCCGTTTAGTGTGAACAYGAGATCCAGACATRAATGTATAAAGTTTTTGCACGAGGGAAAAGAAGCAATCTACTTCAGGGATTGCTTTAACTGTGTCCACAAGAACGAGATTAAGGCAATGGGTGTTACAATGTACTGTACATAAAATGCCTGCTTTTCCACTTCCTTAACACGAGCCTGAACCCCAGAGGTTTTGCCGTTCATGACAGATGCTCCGTCATAAGCCTGTCCAACCAAATTTTCCCTGTAATCCAGCCCATGTTTTTCAAGGATCTGTATTATTTTGTTTGCCAACCCTGCAGCATTAAGATTCTCTGCAGCCTCAAAATGCAAAAAGCTCTCTTTTACAACTCCCCTATAGTAATACCTAAGAACAAAAGAAATCTGTTCTTTCTTTTTTACATCTTTAGTTTCATCTGCCATAAGGGCAAAGACTTGGCTTTCTTTGACTTCACTGATAATGGTGGCACGCAACATTTCTGCTAATAAATCCAGCATTTCATTTTGTATTTGGTGGCTTGTGTATTTAGCATTACCAGTTTCTTTTTTCACAATCGTAACATGATTGGTAAGAATCTCTAATATAGCAAAGAAGTTTCTTTTGTTGCTTGCATGCCCTGTTTCTCTATGAACCCTYTGTGCTATGTTTTGTGTTGCAGTCAACAGCAACACTTCAGCTACACTTTTAATATAGTCACGGTTTTCCTGTACTTGTTTTGTGTGCTCTTGAGACATCTTGATTTCTTGTTCCCTCTTAAAWTTTGTCCAGGCCAACATAGCACTGATGTGTGACTCAGACTTAGCATGAGCTGCAAAGCCTCCATCTTTGAACATAGCCTTTTTTTCAGTTCTTATAGCCCCTATCAGATGTGAAAATGGATTCAGTGTTTGCACGGCCAAAGTGCCTGCACGCATAACAATAAACAGCATCCTTGCACTGAGAATATTCAATCCATGTATAATGGGAATACCACGAGGCCTGGGAATGTCTTTGTCTGTCCCCCATGGCAGTTCTTGGAAACACAGCAAGATGTGGCTGGACTGGACCTTCAGCTCAAGATCTGGAGATATCTGAAAGAAGAAAAAAACATGAATATTCAGACATATTATAAAAAACACTTATAGTACATCATTTGTGGGTATATCACACACCTGGTGGTCCACTCTGGTCTGGACAGTTCATCGGAAACTGCACTGCTTTGCCTTTGATCAATATTAAGTATTTCGTCTGTGAATTGAGATGTAGAAGTTAAAATGAAGAACAAGTATGTATTATAGGAACACCTTAACCAYGTTTTAAAAAACACAATTCAGCAACATTTCAAAGATAATCCTTGTAATATTAATTTCCATTTGGCTGCACACTCGGGTCCTTGCGCACCTGAATCATAGATGTAGGTACGTGATGAAAATCAAAAAAGTTCCCAAATTGTATGAACATATTTTATTGGATGCAAGTAAAATCAAATAACCAAATTGGTTGAGAAATAAAGAAGTTATAAAATTTTATTAGAATAAAAAAGAGGCAAATTTTGGCACTGACTTGATCAAATTATACTGTTCATAGACCTTAAAAATAGAGTCAATACTTTATGATAGTTACTCAGAATGTATAAAACAGTTTACACTAAAATATATTTTATTTTGCAATGAATATTGTACATCTACAGGCTGTAGATGTACAATATTCTATAATATTCAATAACTGTCCAGACCAGAGTGGACCACCAGATGTGTGCTATGCTCACAAATGATGTACTATAATTTATAACATATCTGAATATTCATGTTTTTTCTTCTTTCAGATATTTCCAGATCTTGAGCTGAAGGTCCAGTCCAGCCTTATCTTGCTGCGTTTCCAAGAATTTCCATGGGGGACAGACAAAGACATTTCCAGGCCTCGTGGTATTCCCATCATGCATGGATTGAATATTCTCAGGGCAATGATGCTGTTTATTGTTACTGCCTGCAGTTGTTTGTGTTCTAGAAGAAACTGTGGAAGAAAAGAATGGTGACAGGTCAAATGATGCAAGAGGCCTTCTTGCTCAAAATAGACCTCCAGTTTGTAGGGCTTTTAGTTACAATGACTTCACTCTTGGGCGAGGCAAGTAGCCTCTCTGATTCCCTGCAGTCTCCTCACCTGGATTTGGGTTTAGCTGTTGATTTAGTTGAAATTCTCATACAAACTCTTAAAAACTGCAGGACTGAAACACAATTTGAAGAACTGTGGGGACAAGTTAAACTTACAGCTGAACAGTGCAATATTGAGACTGATCCTGCACCCAAAAGACAAAAAACATGCAGCGAAAGACTTGATGGGCATGCTGTCATGAGCAAGCTTGGCGTGCATCCTGAGCAAAAGAAAGAATGCTTTTGCACAGGTTTATTTTACCCAGTCATTGACTATATGCTCAATGAGATGAACAGACGGTTTTCTAAGCATAACTGTGAAGTGATGAGGGGCATACAGGCACTGAATYCTGTAAATGCTGCATTTTGTGATGAAGCAGCTCTGTTGCCCTTTGCATCTATCTATGGAGGCAACACTGAAGACATGAGACATGAGTTACATCAGCTAAAAATAATACTAGACAGGAAAAGTAAAGCAGRCCTGGARAAACCATCTAGCATAGTTGAACTAACAAAGTTCGAGCCTCGCCACGAAGTGTTTCACGAGGTGTTTCACGAGGTGTTTAGGTTGTGCAAAATAGCACTTACCATACCTGTGAGCACTGCAGCCTGTGAAAGGAGCTTCTCAGTACTGAAGCTAATTAAAAGTTATGTAAGATCAACCATGGATGATGAAAGACWATGAAACCTGGGTGTTTTGAGTGTGGAATCTAAAAGAGCTACCTCTCTGGACTTGGATGAATTTGTAAATCAGTTTGCTTTAAATCACAACAACAGAAGAATAAAACTTTTGTAACTTTTGTGAGGTTTGCAAATAAAACTAGTAAATCAGTTGGAATGTCACAGCAAGTAAAAACAAACATAAAAACTAACAAAATAAAGACATAAAAACTAAGAAACATACCATCAAATATTTTTTAAAAAGGATAATACAGTGTGCCAAAACAAAATCAAACATCAGTCCATACAAGATAGGGAGTCATGAGGCATAGTTTTTGCAAAATGGCAGCATACACTCTTGGTTTGATTGGTGAATGTGCCATAAATTGTACATGTTTTGTAAGGTTTTTCATGGATTAAAGGACAAATTACCCAACTGTTCCATTTTTTGTGACTAGTTTAGGATGCATTTTATAAGAGTCAATGCCTATGTATAGCGGTAAAAAAATAGTTATGTAATTTTCCAGGCCACCCCTTTGTGAGCAGTGGTCCTAGTCTGGCCACCCCTGTGAAACTTTTGTGGCTCCGCCACTGTCTACAGCATGATTTTTCATCAATGTAATCTCAGTAAATAAATAAAATAAAAATCTTTACCTCACCTGTCCCTGTGATCAAGGATTGTCACATACTTTGAAGATGACATGAAAGCATGCAGGCATTAAAGCATCCGTCCGTCCGTTTTCTGCCACTTATCCGTAATTGGGTCACGGGGGCAGCAGCCTAAGCAGAGAGACACAGACTCCCTCTCCCCAGCCACTTGGGCTAGTTCATCCAGGGGAATCCCAAGGCGTTTCCAGGCCTGCCGAGAAACATAGTCCCTCCAGCGTGTCCTGGGTCTTCCTCTGGGCCTCCTCCCAGTGGGACATGCCCAGAACATCTCACCAGGGAGGCGTCCAGGAGGCATCCTAACCGGATGCCCGAGCCACCTCAACTGGCTCTTCTCGACATGGAGGAGCAGCGGCTCTACTTTGAGTCCCTCCCGGATGACCGAGCTTCTCACCYTATCGCTAAGGGAGAGCCCAGACACCCTGCGAAGGAAACTCATTTTGGCCACTTGTATCCACAATCTTGTTCTTTTGGTCACTACCCAAAGTTTGTGACCATAGATGAGGGTAGGAACGTAGACCGACCAGTAAACCGAGAGCTTTGCCTTCTGGCTCAGCTCTTGCTTCACCACGACAGACTGGTATAGAGCCCGCATCCCTGCGGACACAGCACCAATCCGCCTGTCGATCTGCCGCTCCATTCTTCCCTCATTCGTGAACAAGACCTCGGGATACTTGAACTCCTCCACTTGGGGCAGGACCTCCTCCCTGACCCAGAGGCGGCAAGCTACTGGTTTCTGGCTCAAGACCATGGTCTCGGATTTGGAGGCACTGATCCTCATCCCGGCCGCTTCACACTCGGCTGCGAACCGCTCCAGTGAGAGCCGGAGATCACGATCTGATGAAGCCAATAGGACCACATCATCCGCAAAAAGCAGAGATGCGATCCTAAGGTCACCAAAAAGGATCCCCTCAACACCTTGGCTGTGCGTACAAATTCTGTCCATAAAAGTTATGAACAGAATYGGTGACAAAGGGCAACCTTGGCGGAGTCCAACTCTCACCGGAAACTAGTCCGACTTACTACCGGCAATGTGGACCAAGCCCTGGCACTGGTCGTACAAGGACCTAACAGCCTGTATCAATGAACCTGGTACCCCATACTCCCGGAGTACCCCCCACTGCAGTCCCAGAGGGACACGGTCGAACGCCTTCTCCAAGTTCACAAAACACATGTAGACTGGTCGGGTGAACTCCCATGCACCCTCCAGGACCCTGCTGAGGGTGCAGAGCTGATCCACTGTTCCACGACCAGGACGAAAACCACACTGCGCTGCCTGAATCAGAGATTTGACTATCCGACGGACCCTCCTCTCCAGAACCCCCGAATAGACCTTACCAGGGAGGCTCAGAAGTGTAATCCCCCTATAGTTGGAACACACCCTGCGGTACCCCTTTTTAAATMRGGGGACCACCACCCTGGTCTGCAGATCCAGGGGAACTGCCCCCGATGTCCATGCAATATTGTAAAGTCGCATCAACCAATGCAACCCCACAACATCCAGAGCCTTAAGGAACTCCGGGCGAATCTCATCCACCCCCGGCACCCTGCCACCGAGGAGCTTTTTAACCACCTCGGTGACCACGGCACCAGAGATTGGAGAGTCCGACCCAGGGTCCTCAGGCTCTGCTTCCTCATGGGAAGATGTATCAGTAGGATATAGGAGGTCTTCAAAGTATTCCGTCCGCCTACCCACAATGTCCCGAGTAGAGGTCAGCAGCACACCATCCCCACCATAAATAGTGTTGGTGGCAAACCGCTTTACCCCCCTCTAAAATATGCAACACAATTTATATGTTCTTATTTAAATAATAGGTGTTTAATATACAATTTAAACACTTCCACAGTATTTTGTCCTCGACTCTTTTGTCATTTTGTATCTTTCAGCTAAAGTCCTGAAAGAGTTTGAGCGAAAGCAAGATGCCATGCAGAAATTTTTGCAAGAGGACCGAGACACCCAGAGAAAAATTGCAGATGTCCTAAAGGAAGCGATACATGTGGTGCCGGGGCAGAAAGAGGAACCCAAAGAAAAGATCCCCCCTAAAGAGAAAAAAACTGGCAAAGTGTTCCCCGACTCCCCCATCTTCAAGGAGTGGGGCGACAATCTGTCTGAAGACGAGCAACGAGAGGCGCAAGCTCTGTTTGAGAAGTACGGCTACAACGTTTTCCTGAGCGATCGCCTCCCTCTGAACCGACCTCTTCCAGACACAAGAGACCCGAGGTAACATCGCTTCCTTGATAATTCCCTCGAGTTATTACTGTAATAGAACTAATACCTTTATGTTTAAGCAAGTAATTCATGACATCCTTTAATGACCTAGGTTTTCATGACATGCTGTTCATCTGCAGACAGAATGATTAAAGTCAGAACAAGATTTGCTAACAACAATAATCATTCTTAGATATCACTTGTGTTTATCTTTGCGTTTTCCATTGACCTTGTATCAAATCTTGCTAAGATGACATTATGGTGTTTGTTAATATATATATGAGGCCTCTCAAGACACAGTGTTCAACAGAGTTCAACAGTAGTGTGGAGAGACTGACAGAGAGAAGCAGAGGCACAGAGACAGGCCAGATTGTCTGTGTTTCCTGTTGTTGCAATAAAACTCAGCTGATCATCCCACGGAGTACCTTCATTCTTAGACCACATATTTCTGTCCTTGTTAGACAAATATTTACCACAACAATTACTCAAATATGCGACTGTTAAAATTACTTCCTTGTTGCACTCCACTCCCTTCTCAAATACAGTGGTTTGCAAAAGTATTCATACCCCTTGAACTTTTCCATATTTTGTCACATTACAACCACAAACATAAATATATTTCACTGGAA